GCCTCGGAATATACCTTAAACTACAGGGGCCTTAATATTACGATTTAAGGTATAGTCCTTAATTAAGGGGCATTGGGCTCTCTGGGGAACCCCTAAAAGGGACCTCCGCCTTCGCCTCCCTCCGCCTCGGCGCCATGATCTTCTCCGGGCTGCAGCCCTGGGCGAGCGGAAGCCTCACTTGGCGCCAGGCCCGGGAAGCCAGGTCCATAGAGACAAAGAGGTAGAAGATCACATGGAACTATAATCATATATATATATATGTTATATACATATATATGTACATATGTGTGTTATATGATAACAGGAATTTTAAGAAAAAAAAGTACGCAGATTGGAGCTTGTGCCCTTTTTTCTGTCTTCAATCATGGGTTTGGTCTATAGTTTCTTCCATGTTGTCATAGGTTCTTACAAAGATGTTTGCTCTGTCATGTCCTCTTGCAATATAGTGTTGTGTGTAGTACGTGTTGTAGGCTATGACGGCATCAAAGGGATTATGGCTTCGAGGTTTCCATGGCTTACGTCTTGTGCTGTTGTGGGCTTGTGAGGTTATTTGGTTTCATTCTTCGGGGATTCCTCGTCCCGGAGCGAGCGACTAAACACACACCCGAATCCTCAAGCCCTACACAAACCCGAATCCCCAAACCCCAAACCCGAAACCTGAATCCCTAAACCCTAAACGCGACACCTGAATCCCTAAACCCTAAACCCGACACCTGAATCCCCAAAACCCTAAAGCCGAAACCTGAATCCCTAAAGCCCGAAACCCGACACCCTAAACCCTAAACCCGAATCCTTAAATCCTAAAATCTTGGCCCCCCCCCCATGGGAGGCCCAGCCGGCTCCATCTGCGCTGCCCAGCAAGGCCTCATAGAGGGTTCCCGGAGACTCCAGGAAGATCGGAGCTTTACCAATAGGTGTTTTGGGGTTTAGGGTTGTGGGTTTAGGGTTTAGGGTCTAGGGTTTAGGGTTAACCATAGATATAGTAAGGAACCATATAGGAGCTTTAATAATAGGTTTTTTGTGGTATAGTATACTATAGATATAGTAAGGAACCATATAGGAGCTTTAATAACAGGGTTTTTGGGGTATAGTATACTATAGATAATGGAGTAACGGATAGGGTTCCTTTGAAGGGGTCTATAAGGGTTAGTATGGGAGCTACTAGAAGGGTGTAGTGTAGGAGCTTTAATAATCCCTAAACCCTAAATCCTAAACCCTAAATCTTAAACCCTAAACCCTAAACCCTAAACCCTAAACCCTAAACCCTAAACCCGATACTACGGTTGATGATAGAAATCCTGCATTACCCATAATAGGGAATGTACCATGCATCCGATAGTTTAGGGTCCTTAAGGTAATGCAGGATTATATCATCAACAGTATTTTTGGGGGTTCCTCGTTATGGTTATGGTATAATGGGCGCCGAAACCCTATTCCAATAATTAAGGCCCTGCATTATCCCATCAGGGATCCTTCAGAATGAATATGGGTACCCACCATAAGGATATCCACTTTCATCAAGATGAAGGACACCCAGAATATTTAAGGTTGAGGATACCCGGTATAGTTAAGCTTAAGGATACCGACTATAACTTAGAAAGTATCCTTCACGTAGATTGGGAGGGTTTTGCGGTGGCTTTTGAAGGCTTCCAGTCTGTTGCGGAGCTCTTCCCCCTAAACCCTAAACCCTAAACCCTAACTTTGGGGCTTGCCGGAATGAACTCGTCTCCCTCTCTGCATGGCTTACCCAGAGACGCCAAGATCCCTTAAAGAAGGTACCTAGGTTAAGGACCCGCGTTTAGTTGAAGGGCAGTTTCCTTAATTAGATGCTTTTGGAGCTATGGGTAACCTAGGCTCCAGAGCTTCATGAAAATCCCGGACAAAACCCTACTGGAAGCTTGGTTTTGTGTATTCCTGGACTAGAGGGGTTTATAATTTTGTTCCGTCGGGGCGTGGAGGACTTTGTGAAGTCTTGGTATGGTGTGTAGTTTCTGTCTAGTTTCCTAAGCCCTCAACCCCAAACCCCAAGCCCCTAGACCCTAGACCCTAAACCCTAAAACCCCAAACCCCAAAAACTCAAAGCTACAACCCTGAAGCCCAAAATCCCTAAACCCTAAACCCTAAAACCCCAAAACCCCAAAAACCCAAAGCTACAACCCTAAAAACCCAAAATCCCTAAACCCTAAAACCCCAAAACCCCAAACACCCAAAGCTACAACCCTAAAGCCCAAAATCCCTAAACCCTAAACCCAAAACCCTAAAACCCAAAATCCCTAAACCCTAAACCCTAAACCCTCTACAGCCCTAAAGCCCCTAAAAAACCCCTAAACCCTAAGCCCTTTCGACGTCCTTTAAACCCTCTACAGCCCTAAAGCCCTAAACCCTAAACCCTAAACCCTAAACCCTAAACCCTATACCTTATACAACCCTAAAACCCAAAATCCCTAAACCCTAAAGCCTAAACCCTAAACCCTATACCTTATACAACCCTAAAGCCCAAAGCTTAAAATAGGCCAAGCGGCCTCGGCCTACTCCGGTGGTTTTTCGGCCGAGCTCGCAGCTGGGCCAGAGATAGGGTTCACATGTAGGGCTCAGGTTCCCTTTAAAGGGAATTAACTATAGGGTTCTATAATAAGTTCCTTTAAAGGGAACTATAGGGTTCTATAAGTAACATTTAGGGCTCAGGGTTCCTTGAAAGGGAACTGTTTTAAGGGCTTTAGGAGGGACCCTTAATAGGGACCCTTGTAGGTTATTGGGGTTTATATGGAGACTACCTGGCTATTTAGGTTATTGGGGTTCTATAAGTTCCTTTAAAGGGAACTATAGGGTTCTATAAGTTCCTTTAAAGGGAACTATAGGGTTCTATAGGTTCCTTTAAAGGGAACTATAGGGGTCTATGGGTTCCTTTAAAGGGAACTCTAGGGTTCTATAGGTTCCTTTAAAGGGAACTCTAGGGTTCTATAATAAGTTACTTTAAAGTAGGGAACTATTGGGTTCTAAAATAAGTTACTTTAAAGGGAACTATAGGGTTCTATAATAAGTTACTTTAAAGGGAACTCTAGGGTTCTATAAGTTCCTTTAAAGGGAACTAACTATGGGGTTCTATTATAAGTTACTTTAAAGGGAACTCTAGGGTTCTATAATAAGTTACTTTAAAGGGAACTCTAGGGTTCTATAATAAGTTACTTTAAAGGGAACTCTAGGGTTCTATAAGTTTTACTTTAAAGGGAACTCTAGGGTTCTATAATAAGTTACTTTAAAGGGAACTCTAGGGTTCTATAGTAAGTTACTTTAAAGGGAACTATAGGGTTCTATAATAAGTTACTTTAAAGGGAACTATTGGGTTCTATAATAAGTTACTTTAAAGGGAACTATAGGGTTCTATAGGTTCCTTTAAAGGGAACTCTAGGGTTCTATAAGTTCCTTTAAAGGGAACTAACTATGGGGCTCTATAAGTTCCTTTAAAGGGAACTAACTATGGGGTTCTATAAGTTCCTTTAAAGGGAACTAACTATGGGGTTCTATAAGTTTATTTAGGGTTTAGGGCTTATAGGCTTTCAGGTTTGGGGCTTGGGGTTCGGAGCTCGGGTATTTTGGGTTCAGGGTTCAGGGTTGAGGTTGTGGGGTTGAGGGGTTTAGAGTTCAGGGCTTTAGGGGTCTAGGGCTTGGGGTTTTTGGGTTTCTGGGTTCAGGGTTGAGGGTTTGGGGTTGAGGGGTTTACAGTTCAGGGGTTTAGGGGTTTAGGGTTGGGGGTTTCTGGGTTCAGGGTTGAGGGTGTGGGGCTGAGGGCTTTAGAGTTCAGGGGTCTAGGGTTTGGGGTTTGGAGTTCAGGGGTTTAGGCCCTCAACCCTAAACCCTAAACCCTAAACCCTTTGGGTTTTGGGTTCAGGGTTTACTGTGGGGATTTCGAGCGAGATCCCAAGGAGTGCTCCTGAAGTCAAAAGCAGGGGTTTAGCCTGGACCCCCCAACTACCCTCTAATATATTCGAAATACCCACTATTAAGGACCATAAGGGCTCCATTAAAGGGCCTTTGGGGGGTCCTGGAGGGCTTAGGGCCTGAAGTTTAGGGTTTAGGGTTTCTTAGGGTTTAGGGTGACAGCAGGGATCTTGCTCTTTTTTTCTGTGGCCTGGGAGCTCTGAACTCAGATATCTCGGGGCTTTGCTCACGCCGTCTGGCGAAATCGATTTCGATGTGTCTCGGCTGCATGGGGGGAAGCCCAACAGCCTTCCTTAGCTGAAGGAAGCCTTGCAGGCAAAACACTCCGAGGAATCTCCTGCCGGCCAGATGTAGAATCCTCCATGATGGCATGGCGCAGAAAACTTCCAAGCCCCTGATCCTGGAGTTCAGAATTCGCATGCAGAGAGTGGTACCAGGGCCACCAAAATCAGCTCTTCATTGATGGTGATGCTTGTGTGGTCACATTCTGTTGTTGCCATCGGTGGGTGGTCTGACAGAGTGCTGCGCCAAGGCTAGAGTTGGCCGACGCCACCTTGTCGAGGAGTTCGGCCTCAAGCCGCGTGACATCGCAGCATCTCTGCGGCAATGTGCTGCGAGTGGCCAAACGTTAAGTTTTTTCTTGCTAGCTTTCTTTTCAGGTACAATGGTGTTGTTTACTCCCCGTTTCCAGCCACTGACTTGTCGCTCCCGATGCTCCGTCGTTTCAAGCGAGGCGCTGCCCCCAGGCTTCCAAACTCCGAAGTTCCCAAGAGCCAGAGTTCTTGGAGGATCATGGGAGTTAGTAATTAAGGTTATTATTAGGGTAACTATACTTCTAACACCTTATAACCCCAATTAAGGTACGTAGAACCATACTTACTAAATCCCATGATCCTCCAAAGAATAACTATACTTCTAACACCTTAAAACCCCAATTAAGGTACGAAGCCCTAAACCCTAAACCCTACCTTAGTTACTAAGTCCCATGATCCTTTAAGTTTGGAGTCTCAGAGGTGTTTTGGACTGGACGAACTTGGGGGTTTCAGCGAAGCCCCCAGGCGATGTTCTCCAAAAATGCGCGGCGGGGCTTCGGCCTCAGCGTCCGGCGCGGGGGCGCGCTGCTGCGCCTCGCCAGAACTCTAAAAGGGTAGTTCTCTAAATTAGGGTCCCTTTTTAGGTCCCAATATAGTACGGAACCCTTATAAAAAGGACCCCAAAAGGGACCGTAATTTAGAGAACTACCCAAAAGGACTAAGCCTCCGGGTGAAGTTGCGAAGCCGACGGCTTTGGGGAGGTGGGAGATGGGATTTTTCGTCGTGGGGCAAGTCGAGGTGGCCACGTGGAGTTGAACTGGCAAACCCTAAACCCTAAACCCTAAACCCTAAACCCTAAACAGCATCTCAACAGATTCTGCTTTCTGCCTGTTTCCTGTGTGCAAGTGCACGCCTTCGGATGCAGCTTCTTGCATTCATTCATTCATGCATGCATGCATTCATTCATTCCTTCATTCCTTCATTCATTCACTCATTCATTCACTCATTCACTCATTCACTCACTCACTGACTGATCCACTCACTCATTCTCTGCCTCTCTCCCTCAATCCCTCGCGTTCTGAGAGATGTTTGTTGTGCATGTCTCAATGTAAACGCAGGCTTTGCGCCTGCGAAATTCAAGAACCCATAGAGCCCAATACCCCATAATTAAGGAATATACTTTAATTCATAATATTAAGGCCCTTATAATTTAAGGTATATTCCTTATTAAAGGGGTATTGGGCTCTGGGAAGATTGCCAAGGTCTCTTGGTCGAGATGGACCTTCGGTGGTGGTCGCCAATACGACGGCCTTTTGGCAAAACTCCACGGTTTAGGGTTTAGGGTTTAGGGTTCACGGTTTAGGGTTTAGGGTTTAGGGTTTAGGGCCTTGTTTCCGCTTCGCTCTGCCTGGTGCACGGCAGCCAGCGTTACCTGCATCTGCTCTCAACTCATGTAATCCCCAAAGTACTACCTCAGGAGTCGTAGCAGCGGCTGTATGCTACTGCTAGGTACCCAAGAGCATCAATTCAATTCTTTCGCATGTGCACCCAAAGCCGAGACGGGAGCTGCATTTCGCATCATCAACGTAAGTATCCTGGTCAGCTCTTCCAAGGCTTTCATCCTTCCCCGCGACAGTCGTGACAAGAGCTTATCAGACGTCGGCTTGCAGGCCACGTCTCCAGTGTCATTTCACGATATATATATATATATATATCGCCCCATTCCGCCCTTTTCAGATCCAGCAGAAGTTCGTGGACATAGTGGCCTCGGTGCGAGAGCAGCCGGTGCCCCAGGAACTGAACTGAGCCTATGCTCTCCGAGTGCCACTCATGGCCGAGTGGGATGTAGGGTTTAGGGTTTAGGGTTTAAGTTGGATTTAAAAGGGCGGCCGGCCACGCTCTGAGTATACACGGCGCAGAGTATACACGGCACAGCACATCTCTAGGCCTAGACTTTAGACTGTTGCTACGATCACGCCGTCGCCCGTGCGAGGCATACTGCGGAAGAGCCCGGTCGCGGGGGCCCCGCTTTGCAGAGATTTCCAACAAGGCAGAAAAAATGGGACGTGGAGGCTTCGGAGATCGGAGATCCGGGGTTGAAAGTCTGCAAACTTCCTCTCTCCCCAAGCTGAGGCGAGCCCGTGCCGTTTGCGCTGGCTGTGACGGAGGCTGAATGGAAGGAGGGTGGGACGGGGCGGGCGGATTTTTTGCGCCCGCTTGGCAGGCGCTTCTGACGATATACCTGGACAAAATATCCGGTGAGCTGGAAGAGGCAGTCTGGGAGGCAGACACGCTGATAAGCATCTTGGCTTAGACCGCGCTCACTGCTGCATTTGCATTGAAGTTGTGGGGCCATCTGTCGCATCACGAGAAGATGGATAGAAGCACTGGCTGTAAACTGCACTCTCTATCCCGTCGGACCGGGTACTATAGGGGCATTGATAATTGTCGATAAAACATAGAATTCTGGGGGGTTCCTTGTTATGATTATAGTATATTGGGCCCCAACACCCTCTTCTAATGATCAAGCCCCTTACAATACCGTAGCTTCAGGCAGTGGGCGAGGTCATTGGAAGTGAACTTTTCGTAGAACCGTCTTGCATGAGCGAGGAGACTATACCGGGGTGCGGCAAGATCAGGCACGAGCACTTGTTGGATCTTGCACAGCAGGGTCTTGTCACTCCCTAAACCGTAAATGCAAAACCCCTAAGCAGAAAACCCTAACCCCTACACCCAAAACCCAAAACCCTAACCCCAAAAACCCCAAAAACCCCTAAACCCCTAAGCCCCTAAACCCCTAAACCCCCCAAACGGCGGCAACCCTAAACCCGAAGCCACAGATCCGCCTGAACCCCGGACCCCCTTGGAGCCTCAAACCCCGAAGCCACAAACCCCCTGAAGAGTAATGTAGGAACCTGATGAAGAAACCTTGGGCCATTATCAAGGCTCTTTATATGAGGTTTAGGGTTTAGGGTTTAGGGTTTAGGGTTTAGGGTTTAGGGTTTAGGGTTTAGGGTTTAGGAATCCTAATATGTTGGGGTTACAGTGCCAGGGTTTCTTACTCAGGTTCCTACGTTAAAACACGACAGCAGCCAAGCCCTTCAATAACTACCTCCTTTAAGAGCTGACTGAGCCTAAAGGTTTTGGCATGGGGTATATTTATAACGCTTCACCCCTGGTAAAGTTTGAATATTTCACACCTTTCACACATTTTTTTTAAATGTTTTTCGGTGCAAGAGCTTCCCCGGTACTTCTTCACACTCTAGGGCCTGAACCCTGAAAGGTTAGGTGTGCAGTGACCCTAAACCCCAAACCCCAAAACCCTAGGCCCTCAGGGCTTTGGGTTTACGGTTTGCAGGGCCCGAGCCTGAGCCCCGATTCAGAATTTTTCTCGAATCCCCTGCATCGTTTCGAGGGCGCCTCTTACCCTCGCAAGCAGGATGCTTGCATAAATTTTTAGGGGGCATTGGGATCTGGATCATGCCGAACAAGCTTGCTGAGTAATGGTATCCCTAGCCTTACCATCAGGATCGACCCCCAACGCCCTAAAGTCCTCCTAACCCCTAACCCCTACAACCCTAACCCCTAAACCCTAGACCCTAAACCCCTTAACCCTAAACCCTAAACCCTAAACCCTTAACCCTTAACCCTAAACCCTTAACCCTAAACCCTAAACCCTAAACCCTAAATTCCTAAACCCTAAACCCCCAAAAAAACCCTAAACCCTAAATTCCCAAACCCCCCCCAAACCCAAGCGCCCAAGCCAGGCTGGCACTCCGCAACTCGAGAAGCTGCGCATCACAAAGCAGCTTTTGGACACGGTCCAATCCCAGGCACCAGAGTTATACTAGGTTCCCCCAGTAGTACCCTTTTACCCTTCTTTCTTTTTGGGTTCCCCATTAACACCAAATAGTAGGAAAAAGTTATACCTGTAGCCGAAAAGACCTACCTTTTGTCGGGCTCCTGATTCTGGTTTCTGTACATAGTTCCTTAAAGATGTAGGGTCTTTTCGGCTACAGGTACTTCTATAAGGGCTTTGGGGTTCAGGAGTTCCATAAGGACTTTAGTCTTCGGGGTCTAGGGTTCAGGAGTTCTGTAAGGGCTTTGGTCTGCGGGGTTGAGGGTTTTAGGAGTTCTATAAGGGCTTCAGTCTTCGGGGTTTCGGGTTTGGGAGTTTTTTCGAGGAGTTTTGAGGTGGAGGAACCCTAAACTCTAAACCCAAAACCCTAAACCCTAAACCCTAAACCCTGGAGGGCTTCTTCGGGTGCAGTTTGCGAATGCCATTGCGCAGGCCAAGAGCTTCCAGACAGTTCTCCTGCAGGCACTTGAGGACGAGGACCACAGAGGGTTTAGGGTTTGGGGTTTAGGGTTTAGGGTTTAGGGCAGAGTGCTCGGTTTTTGGGTGTCGCGGCGTAGGGTTTAGGGTTTTGAGGGTTTATGGGAGCATGTGGGCCGGGAAGGAGTTCAAGGACCTAGCCGGTTTTGCCGTGGGATGTCTGATCTTCATGGTCTAAGGGACAATAGGAGGGACCCCTAGAAGGGACCCCTAATCCAAATACCTTATATAACCCTTATATACCCCTTATGTAACCCTTATATACCCCTTATATAGTCTCAAAAAGGCCCTATATAACCCCAAGGTTCCCTATGAAGGGTCCCTCCTAAAGCCCTTAGAGGTGAGCTTCAGGGCCCCTCAATCCGAAAGCCCTCTTAGAGGCAGCCCTTTCCCTGTCCTTGCAGGATGACACTAAACTAACCCCTAAACTAAACTAAACTAAACTAAACTAAACTAAACTAAACTAAACTAAACTAAACTAAACTAAACTAAACTAAACCCTGAAACCTGAAACCCTAAGCCCCAAACCCTAGACCCTAGACCCTAAACCCTAGACCCTAAACCCTAAACCCAAAACCCAAAACCCAAAACCCAAAACCCTTTCCCTGTCCTTGCAGGATGACCTCTCAGACCTGGCGACGTCGGTTGGACCGACCAAAGAGGACCCGGCCGGGACTCTCCAAGTCGGATAGAACCCCCGCGGGCAAGTCGAAGCAAACGCCCAGCCCCAAAGGGTTTAGGGTTTAGGGTTTAGGGTTTGGGGTTCAGGGTTTAGGGTTTAGGGTTTAGGGTTTTCAGGGTTTAGGGTCTAGGGTTTCAGAGTTTAGGGTTTAGGGTTTAGGGTTCAGGGTTGAGGGTTTAGGGTTTAGGGCTTAGGGTTTAGGGTGTCTGTCTGTCTGTCTGTGTGTGTGTGTGCTCCTGCACCAGAAACTGGTGAGTGCGTGAGTGCCATAAGGCCCATAAACCTAGAGGACCGAGAGCCCAGAAGCCCGTAACCCTAAACCCCAAATCGCAGGAGTGGGAGCTCTGCTTCGAGTACTACTCCCAGAGTGCCGCGGAGGTCGACGCCGAGGTGGCTACGTCTCGGATTGAGCTGTTTAAAGGGCGGATTCTAGAACATTTAGGCATTCCTTCGGGGTATGAGGGTTTTAAGTCTTGTGATATATACTTGGAGGATCATGGCACTTAGTAAGTATGGTTATAAGTACCTTAATGGGGTTTATAAGTAGTTATAAGTATAGTTACCCTAATAATAACCTTAGTTACTAAGTCCCATGATCCTTTAAGTAGGGTTTTGGCTTTGGGGTTTACTTGGGGAGCGTGTGGAGGATCCGGCTGTTTAGGTTCTACATGGAGGGCTCTTGCAGGAATGCTGCGAGGCTTGGAGGAATGCAACTTCTCAGAGACTCCAAAACCCCTTAATTAAGGAATATACCTTAAATCATATTAGGGATCCGATTTTTTTAAAAGGTATATTCCTTAATTAAGGGGTTTTGGAGTCTCTGAGTTCGCAAATCTCACATGCGGCCCTCCTGTGCCCCGACGTGAGACTGTGGCGTGGAACTGCCAAACCCAAGTCGAAGCCGCTTGCTTTCGCCGACCCTACTTAAAGGATCATGGGACTTAGTAACTAAGGTTATTACTAGGGTAACTATACTTATAAGTTATAACTACTTATAACACCAGTTAAGGTACTATTAACCATACTTACTAAGTCCAAGTAAAGCCGACCCCAGCCCGGGAGGTCTCTGCGCATGTCGAAGCGATGGATGACTTGGAGAACTTCTGGCTGCTGAGATTGAGCGAGCGAAGGCAGCTGGTTGCATCAAAAGCGCCCGGGTTTCTGCCCAGAACAGCGACATATCTCAATCTCGTCCACTCACTGCTGCCGAGCTGGGAGTTTCGGAACATCATGGGGGACATGGGGGACCGGGGACCCCGAAGCTACTGTAGACCTTAAAATGGTCGGGTCCTCAACACTAGACGACTTGAAGAACTACCCCGTTCCAACCTAAACCCTAAACCC